ACGATTCAGTCCAGAAATCACTCCAGAGAACATTCCAGAAATCAACTGTTTTCAATACACTGATCGGCCTGGACGATCTCACCATCGTCCCGGCCGATTCTGGGGAAAAATCACTTTTCCCAGCAGCTACAGCAAAGAAACGAGGTCTCACAACCTAAGTGTGTACAAACTACAGTGCATGTGCGAGGGTATTTTAGAAAATTCGCGAAACACCTTCTGTCCGCTTCTAAGAACGTCGCGGATCTGGTGGCGTAGCGTTGTAGATTGTAGACACCTTCTGTCAGCTTCTAAGAACGTCGCGGATCTGTTGGCGTAGCGTTGTAGATTGTAGACGCCTTCTGTCCGCTAGTAAGAATGTTGCGGATCCGGTGGTGTAGCGTTGTAGATTGTAGACGCCTTCTGTCCGCTAGTAAGAATGTTGCGGATCCAGTGGCGTAGCATTGTAGATTGTAGACGCCTTCTGTCCGCTAGTAAGAATGTTGCGGATCCGGTGGCGTTGCAGCTTGATGCTATGAGGCGTTTCCGCATCTTAATTGTCTTCCCTTTTCTCAATCACCGGGGAAATTCTTCTGGACTTTGAAGTTCATTGCTCTGAAGAGAACTCCCTTTGAGGTTGTCAGTGTAGTGGACTTGTTATTTCCGGTGTTTGTGGGCACCAGAACTATTTTCTTCCTAAGGATGGGACCAGGAGGAAACTTTGGAACACCAGGAAGTTTTGTTCTAATTTGTTCAAACATCTATTCCATTCCGTCAGGGGGTGTCCTTCTTTGTACACCGGGGTGCCCTTACACCCGACGTACTCAAGAATCTCTTAATCACCGCTGTCGTAGATGATATCTGTACTTGTGCCCACAGTGGTTCATTGTACTTACAATACACTGTTGTAATCCACAAGTATTCATTTGCAAGGGACTGCCGTATCCCTTATGACCTCCTAAAGGTATTTGTAGGAGAGTCGTTGTCAACTTCATCATATCCACCCTTTCATCAATCTCAGGTGGTTTTGCTAATTGTACTTGTTTACAGGGGACGGTCTTTCTTCGTACACCGGGTTATTCTTGTAACTAACATGCTTGTAGATCTTAATCACCGTTATCGTAGGTGATATCCGTACTTGTGTCCACAGTGGTTCATTGTACTTACAATACACACTGTTGTTATCCACAAGTGGCTTGTACATATTTACAGGGACCCGTTGTATTTTCTACGACCTCCTGAAGGTATTTGTAGAAGACCCATTGTTCTTGTATCATACCCACCCTTTCGCCAATCTCAGGTGGTTTTGATTGTACTTGTTTGTAGAGGACATGTCTTTGATTGCTGGTCTCCAGTATTGTCATCTCAATCAACAAGCTTATATGGGGATTGTTGCAGGAGTTCACGTATTGAGGTCTTGTAACGTACTTTGAGTCACTATTAACCATATAAATGTTCTTGTAG